TTACTATTATTTAAAAAATATAAATCAAAATAAAATTTTAATGAAAACAATTTGTTTTTACGATTAATAGTAATAATATTTATTATAGTATGTAATAATAATAATGTTATAATATACCAGAAATAATAATAATAATAATAATAATAACAACAAGAATAATTAATTATTAATGATAATGGTAACAATTATAACATAAATAGTAATACATATCACAATATTAATAATAACAATCAATAATACAATTTTTACATAATAATACATATCATTTTATTTCTTTTCGTTTTGACTTGTCAAAGTTTGACTATATCATATGTAAATATAAGTAATCCTCTTGAAAAGTACATGAATTCTTAATTTTTACACTTATCATCTGTCGGAATTATTAAAATTTCTATGTAAAGTTAATATAATTTAATCTTTTTTTAACTTGCTAATAATATTTTTTCTTAATTTTATAAATAAGTTGAAAATTTTAAATGGAAATTTTAAAAATTATATTGTAGGCCAAAGTAACTTTTTTTTAATAATAATTTATGAATATAGTTATATTTCTATATAAAATGAATAAAATTTTAATATTTTTAAAATTAACTCAGAATACTTCTTAAATTTACTAATATATATATATATATATATTGGTGATTATGTTAATATAAAAATTGAGCTATGTAAATGATAGAATACTTTGATATGATGAAGTTAAGGATGCATAGTGGTATGCCTCTTTCATTGTTTCAAGCCTATGCAGACCATATTTAAGAAAGAATTTAGTGAGTGCTTCTAGTTTTGTCAGATGTATATTATAAGGTGATGCTAACAACATGTAGAACTACACTGTTGCATTGTTTGTCTAGAAGGCCAATCAAAGTTAGGTCGCTTTATGTGTTGCAAAGTACCATATCACATGCTACTATGTTGGATTTAATAACTATGATTATATAGCTCATGAAAGCAAGAATGATACTAAAATTGAAATTGAGCATAAAATCATATATAAATCTAAACTTATGACTTGAATTGAGTCTCCTCATAAATCCATGCATGTTTAATGAAATTGATGATTTCCCAATGAAAATGATCTGTGTTTCGATGTCGAATAATCAAATAAAGATTGATTGTCTCTTATTTTTTTATTTTGTAACATAGATTCATGGAAAGAAATTTATAGAGACTTAAGTTATAATATTTCATGAAATTCATTACTACTTAATACCTTAAAACAAACCTAAAAATGCTTATTTGGTCAATAAAGATGCATAGCTTGTAATTTTTTTTCAAAGATGTCCACATATATAGGAATATCATTTATATCCGATTTGTCAAATTTTATTTTCTATAGCATATCAAATTCTAGAAACTAGTCATGGGTCATCATTAATATTACTGGATGCGTCATTAACAATGTATTATTCGACATGAATTTTGAGGCATTCGACACATCTCAAGGCATTTTGGGGTTAGAAATGTTCTAATTCAAATTACATATTATCCAGAATTTTGATCTCATAAAACTTACAATCAAACTGACAAGCTTGATGAGATGAGCTCAATGATACCAAAATCGATCTAATCTGAGTCAAATCAAGCCCATATCAAGCCATTAAACCATTTCTAGAAGTTTTGGGTGGTTGATTGGAATGTCAATTGCTCCAAATTTCATGAGCTTATAGTCAAATCGAGTGACTTGATGCAACAGATTCAACGAGCTCAAGATTACTCAATTTTGATGTCATTAAGGCACTTAAATGTCCATAAAACATCATCCAATTAAGGGAATCACTCTAAGCCATCTGATGGAATAGTGTGGATTCATGCAGTATTTATGGAGGAAGCCACTCCCAAATTCTATAAGTAGAGTCTTGCTCCTTCTATGAAAGGGGGAGACTGAAAATTGGAGTGGAGTAAGACACCCTGTGATAATTTCCACCCTCCATAGTTGACGACTGTTGTGTGCGTGTGGAGTGAGAAAAAAAAAAGCGGTGTGAAGCATTAAATTGTGTGGAGTGAGAAAAAAAAAAGCGGTGTGAAGTATTAAATTCTATCATCTGTGTAAACAATTGTATTCTCGTTGTGTGCGTGTGGAGTGAGAAAAAAAAAAAGCGGTGTGAAGCATTAAATTCTATCATCTGTGTAAACAATTGTATTCTAGCTTAGAAATGCATGCGAATCAATTTTTTGAAATTTTGAAATATATATTTTGACTTGTCCATCAAAAGAAAAACAAAATAATCATAGTGTAATCATAAAAAATATAACAAATCATCTAAAATCAATGATGTTTTAACAGTTGATGGTCCACAAAAGTTGTGAATCATTAAAAATGTTGAAAGGCATTGTATGGACGATTGAAATCAATCATCAAAAATATAACAAATCATCTAAAATCAATAATGTTTTAACAGTTGATGGCCCACAAAAGTTGTGAATCATGAAAAATGTTGAAAGGCATTGTATGGACGATTGAAATAGGATTTGCGCACATATTTGGAAAACTAAGATAACTCACAAAAGCTTTTGGGGTTCTATTGAATGATGATAAGAGAATTTTTTTAAGGTACATAAAATTGAGATATCCTAGTCATTAGTGTCTAAACATGATGCTTTATCCTTATAACTACTTGGAACATCAATTATTAGATGAGTCTATTAGATGAATCCCTAATCACAAGTTGGAATAATCAGCCATCCTCCTCAAGTCCAAGATATTAAAATTCAAATACGAATGAAAATTATTTAGTTAACTCCATTCAATTCTTTATGTAAGTTTAATTATGGATGATTATTAGATGAGTCCCTAATCACAAGTTAGAATAATCAACCATTTTCCTCAAGTCCAAGATATTAAAATTCAAATACCTATGAAAATAATTTAGTAACGCCATTCAATTCTTTATGTAAGTTTAATTATGGATGATAAACTATTACAATCAAGATAAGAAACAAATTGGATTGAATCAAGTTTCAAACCATGGTAGAAAATAACTAAACATCTATTTGCCACCTTAGAAAGATACCATTTAAAATACAAGTTGTGAGACTGTTATATAATGGGATGTATTCATCCAACACTATGATATGACCAATCATATAATCACTAGCCTCTGAATCCACAATTAAGAGCTATTTTTCCCTCAATTCAACAATTAAGGCAGTCAAGTGATTAACTTTCAGAATATCTGAAGTGCAACCAACCAGAGATGTCATGTTATAGAAAGTTCTTTGAAGCAGTTTCTCTATTACCACCATTTGTTCTTTGTTAAAAAGGCTCAACTCAACAAGTGTTTGTTCCTCGGTTATGACAACGTTTATGGTTGTTTCATTATCAGGCAGGCTTCTAATTTGTCGGATTACCATATATTCCTAAAACTGCTTTCATGTGTGCTTTTTCGCAACAATGCTCAATCCAAAGTCAGACTACCTTCTATGAATTATCATTAGAAGCATCTTGTGTACCGTGAACAACAAACATGATCTCTCCCCTAGTTTCTCCAAATCTCATAAAATACATTGTGAACTATCGGTAAAGGGTTCATGCTAAGGATGCATCCTCTTACATCATCCATTTGCTTATTCAACTAAAGTAAACCAATAAATCCTCTTTTTTTCACCTATTATTTTACAATGTTGCCTAAGACTACTTGAGCATTTCCATTCCAATTCATCAAGAAATTAAGTTATTGTCAATATACACAAACACTGAAAAAATTTTCACCATATTTTAAAACATGAACTATACTCTTACTTTCGAATGTACCAGATATATCTTTGTTGGAATAGGTTTATCAAAGTACCTCAAAAATCTCTTTAGTTATGAAATTTCTATAATTTTGTTAATCGTGGAGATGAAAATCCATGACATTACCATGTTGTTTACCATCTTCAACGATGGATTGGTCGACTCATCTTTCTTTGTCGAGCAATGACGACTATGAGAGTTTTCTTATTCATATCCACAAATAAAAATTATCATGGATTGTGACCATTGGATGAAATTATAGCTCTTATAAAATTGATGCATTGAACAATAGCTAAAATGCAAGAAATAACATAAGAATTATGTAGAAAATATTGAATGAGAAAAACCACAAGCAGAGAAGGAGAATTTTTTATATCAAAGAAAAGGGAAGTTACAATAGTGAAAAAAGCTTAGGACTACAGCTCTAATGACATCAACCTAGCAAAACCCTAAATACACACATATGTGTACATATGGGGGTGGGGAAAAAAAGCTAATACTAATAAGGAAAAAATTGTGTCGCATTTTAACATTAGCAATTAAGTTTATGACAAGTGATTAGGCGGGGATAAGTTTCTAGCATACATGTAGCATTAATGCAATGTTTTTGAGACTACATGTCAGGTCAGATGATGAATTATCTTGTCAAATGACCATGGTTTCAGTTGGAGATAAGTGGAGCTTATTGGTGCGGATCATGCTATAATAAATACCATTTCCATCTAACAACTTTGCTGATGGATTTCCAAGGTCATCACTCACTAAATTAAGAAAAAAATCAAACCACCAACGGGAAAAGATAATCTCTTCAAGATGGTCGATCGAGATCCTCCTTTTTCTACTAATACATTGATAATAAATAAAAAAATGCATTTATATAAAGTTCTCCATGTAAGATGATAAAAGTTATATATAAAAGAAAATCATAGTAAAAAAAATCATGTATATATATAGGAATAAAATTTGGTATCCATTTGAGCAATCAAAGTGACACACAACCATTGCATGAAATTGATGCATGACACCAAAAGCATACAATACAAAAAAGCATAATATATAGCCATAAAGTTAAGACTTTCTGAGGTATATACATAAAACAATCATATTCTCGAAATCTCTGGCAGGTATCTAAAAAGGGAGAGAATGCAATCTGCAACCTTCAGATTGAAGGGTAAAAAGAAAAAGGAAAATAATTGCTTCAGATCAAGCTAAGAAAAAATCACCTCAACAATGTTTTTCGATTTTATATATTTACTTCAGTACATGTACAAGGATATGCACATCACCAAGAAAATCAAAACGCAATAGACATATAACTTTCATTGTAACAACAACATCGATATTCTCTCCATGAACAAAAAAACCATAACCCAAATATTTTTAGATAAGACATGAAGAAATACTTGCAATATATGTTAAATGAGGGTAATAATGGAATTCACTCAAATCAAACTTGAATTGCCTTGTGATGGAGCATTTTGTGAGAACTCCGTGAACGGAAAAGAAAAAGGATTTGTTGGACCTACTTGCAAGTGATAATTCTGAGTTTGACGGCTATAAGGCAGCAGCATCATCATTTGTTGTTGTTGATAATGAAGTTGTTGCTGGTAGTGCTGAGGCATTTGTTGTTGCTGGTAATAGAACTGACTTTGTTGTTGATCATAAAATTGTTGTTGTTGTTGTTGATGATGATGGTAATAATATTGCTGTTGTTGTGGGTGTTGTGCCATTAGAGTCATTTGGTCATTGGTTGGAGGTGCAATGTCGCTCGAAATAGTGAATGGATTCCTTGACTCATATGAACTGGCATTGAAACTGGCAATGTAGGTGCCTCCGGCAATTTGTTGTCTTCTTGATGCATCCTCATATAAGCTATCTAGTAAAAGCATATCAAAGCCTCCTGCCTGAGTTGCATAAGGCAAATGATTTAGTAAGACCAAATTTGTATAAAATCAAATATATTTTTCAAGTAGGAATATTCTAGTATCTTAGAGAATCGGTCGATAACATAATTTTTTGAAAACACGATAAATTCTCTTGTTCTTATGAGGTTAATAATGCTATCATCTTTTCAGTTAATTATTGGTCAAACTCAAACCACTGCAGAAGCATCTTCAGTGGTATGAAGGGTGGGGCACTTACAATGTTAAGAGATTTCAAAAATCGCGGGTAGATGATTTCTCATAACAATTCAATGTAAAACAACGTTGTTAACTTATCATCTTAGAAGCTAGTGAAATGCAAAAGGTAATAGGCACAAATTTATACTTATTCTTCTATTACTAACACCTAAGAGATTTATTGAACAATAATATTTATTATTTTGATTCCCACAGAAAACTATTTAGCCTCTTGATCATAAAGTTGTATTGACGCATCTAAGTTCAATAATAACTCAATAGAAAAGTAATTACTAATAGTTCAATTATATCAACCATTTTAATCAATTAAGAGAAAGTCTTCGCTTATGACGATTAATCTGCCATTATATTCAGGAGACTGCATACCCTTGACAAATCATATTTCTATAATACTGAAGATTGTTTCTTTTATTTGAGAAAGAAATGGAAACTATAAAACCTAATTCACAAGAGTTCATCTTTAAATGAAAAATTAGATAAAACATCATAAAATCAGTGGAGTAAGAGAGAGCTTTAAAAGTGCAAACCAGTTTGCTTTCTACAACATTTTTGACGTTGGTACTCGGGGTAGAGACCAGTGCTAGCTCCCACCCTGAATCGCCACTGAGCAAATCTGTGGATGTTATCCTTGAGCCATCCCCTGGTGTTAGATATATAATTAGAATTACTTGTGCTGAGATAGAAAACGAGTAACAAAGTAGGATGAATTTTAATGAGCTAAGTGTCCTTGTATCCTAAATTACTGTTATAGAGTAAAAAATAGAGCGGCAGATGCAAACTAACAATTAACGTTCATAATTCTAATCATGTTTACGTTCTGATCCTTTATTTTAAGATGTATGATTCACAGATTAATCAAAGGAAACAGGGTATAGTGAGGAGTCCGAATAAATAGTGAGTGCACTAACAAACTCACCAGGTTGCATGACTGCAAGAGCCAATGCATTTTTGTGCTCAATTTCTGCGGCAGTGGATCTTATCTCTTCAATATCCTGTATGCTCACAGAACCAAGTCAAAGCAAGTCTTCCTGACATAGGAGGTAGAAAAGTTTACGTGGAATAATTTACCAGAAGATATTCTGTAATCTCAAGTGGCTTTTCAGCCTCCACAACTTCTTCCTCTTCTTTTACCTCCTCAACGGAAGGCTCTGTATTCTCTATCGCAGCAGCATGCTCATCTTCTTTGTAGGTTAGAATGTTTTCCTCTTGATACTCCTTTACCCCAAAGAGTATGAAAATGATAAATTTATAATTAAATTTTGATTAGTTTCCTAACAAAGTTCTACTTGGTAACAAAACACAAAAAGTACTGTTATATCTCCACAATAACATTTTTTGGTTTTCTATAATACACTTTCACCTGAACCAGGTGAACCAAGTCGATATTAAAATAATTCCAAAATAAACTGGAGCCAATTTTTTTTCATGGATGGAAACTATTTGAAATATTTTATAAATTGAAGACAATATGCCAATTATACATACGGAGCGTACAAGTCCACTTGTAGATTGATTTCATGCAAGAAGCAAGTAAATTTTTATTTTAAATAAGGTCACGGGCTATATTCTGTACACTTGAAACTAGGGAGCATCCTGCTTGAGTTAGAGCTCTTTAGTGCTCGAACCAGTATGATAGAGTTGACCAATAGATATCATTCATGGCAAGTAGCTTGAGCAACGGCTATGAATCTAGAGGAATCCTCAGTCACATAAGGAAAGTGAATTACATGAACCTATCTGACGCAATACTCAGCCGATTAGAATCGACATTGGGCCCATCTAAGCAATGCCCTAGTTCAGATAAACATAATGAACAATTAAGTTGTAGCCCAAAAAAAATTGTGCCAGGCTCTCTTGAGAGAGCTTGTGATTCCGGTCCAAATTTTCATGAACTCCTCTTCTTCACACGGCACGGGTTTCACCGCCGCCTTCTTTGATGCACTTAAGCTACGACTTCATCGTTTTTTAATCATTGAAGACCTCAAGTAGGAGTAGAGAGTGAGAGATTACGATTTTTTTAGTACAAATAAGAAGTGTGGTTATGATGGTAAAGATTTTTGTCATATCACAAGCTGGTGTGAAATAGCATATTACTTATATAATTAGCTGTGAAAAGACTTTTGTATGCTTGTGTAAGATGGTATGTAGGACGGTAGAACCCTTTCGGGTATTGGCTAGCCGCCAACAGATCCACAGAGTTACGACTTTATAAAGGACTATCGAGTTTCATTGGGTTGGCACTGACCTTCCCGACTTCAGAGTGTCTGTTAAAACTGACTATATAAATATAATAGAAACTTATTAATAAAAAATGGATCAAATTTGAAATGATTGCATGTTTCCTTGATATAATTAAAAACATTTTGTTTACTACTCTATTATTGACTTATGAGGTTAATTATTCATGTAATAATCACCCCTATTTATTATTTACATTGCTTGCTCCATTTTTCTTATTGTGTATTCTTTAATAAATAGTTGTTATAGTGAATTTACTTATCAAATTCACTCGTTGATATTTTTGCAAAATAAGTTTTATTCAGCCACAAGCAAGACCATCCCCACTGGAGTAGATCTTTCAATTTGAGATTTCTTATTTTTTGGCATTACTTTGTATTTGCTTTAGTTATTGTATTTTTCATTCTGGGTCTGGATAGGCGTTCTCTATTGTCATTGCAGTTTTGATGCAAAATTTTTTTATTTTCTTTTAGTTGTATCAGCGGACTATTAATTATGAATAAATTTTATATTTTTCTTGTTTATTCTTATTGCCATTTCCATACAATCTTTCTTTTAAGAATACAAAACAAATTTAATTCATTTTATTATGTTTTACGTTGTTGGGGTGTACCGCCTTTCCGAACTGGGGGTGCGACTAAGTGTTTTCAGAGCTAATGTTTTGTACTCAACATCCCTTATCTTTGCATTTCATATCTCTTGTCATCTTAGGACTGGGTAGGGGACATATTATTCTTATTAGTAAGTTCTTTATCGATTTTAATTTCACATATATTTTAAATATTTAGATTGGCTCGAAAGAGAAGAGATAGTGTCGCTGCTTGTGCAGGAGTCTTGAGAGCTAATATAGAAGTACCTTGCTCTAAGGGTCTTCGCTCCCCTAACCACCATCATGTTGATCCTGTTCAACCCACCGAGACTAGTGGAGCACTAAATATCCACATGATGACTCTCATAGAGGTGGTAATACAGAATGTTACCCGGGCATTACAAATCAGTTTTCAACTCAAATTGCACAAGCGGTTAAGGCTATTCAGCAGCCAGCACAACCGATATCACAAGCCACTCAACAAGTGATACTAGTGGCCATCATGGAGGCACAACCTAACCAACCAATGTCGATGACCAATGGAAGTGCCATGGATTGAGGTGATGGAACGGTTTTTGAAGATGCACCCTCCTATCTTCAATAGCATGGTGGACCTGATCAAGTATGATGCGTGGTTTTATGATATTATGATATCAAGAAGATGCTGTGAGAAATAAAGTGCCCTGAAGACCACAAGGTGAACATTACAACATTCCAATTACTGAAGGACCTGATGAATGGTGGGAGTCGCTGCCGCAACAGTTTTGGACCATATGTAACAATTTCTAGGGCGGATTTCAAGTGATTGTTCTTGGAACAATACTTTCCTATAGGATATTGGGCTAAACCCATGAATGACATAAGGAAGCTGGAGCAATGAATAAAGATAGCTCAGAAGTAAGATATGCAGTTTGCCAATATCGCATGTTTCATCCTTCAATTAATCGACATGAAGATCAGAGGATCTATCACCTATATGTTGGCTTGAGAGAGGACATTCTGTGGTGTCTATCGACTCTCAAGTGTATGACTCACAGAGAGTTAGTGGACCGAGTTATTCAAGAGGAGACAAGGATCACTGCTTGCGAGGAAAAGTATGCTGGGAAACAGAAGAATTTAGATACACATACAAATGAGAATTCTTAAATGAATCAACATAAGAATAATATGGCACAAAAGCAAAAAAATAAATAAATCCTCGATGTGTTAATTGCAGGAAATGACATTCTGAAACTTGTAACTTGATTTTCGATAAATGCTTCAATTGTTAAAATATCAACCATAAAGCTAAAGATTGTCCCCTCAAAGACCCAAGCCAACAACAAGTGACAAACGCCCAAGAGAACAAATCTAAGTCTCATCACAAGAATAAGTGGCAAAGATCTAATGGAGGTCAATATCACGAGCATCACAGGAAAGGTCAAGCGAAGCAAAATTACTTTCAACGTCAACAACAATAATAAGTAATGGTGTCTTAGGGCCCGTTTGGGACAGCTTATAAGTGCGGACAGCGTTTTCAAAATGTCGTGTACCTTTTGGTTCGCGTGTTTCGCCAACTTATTTGAAACCGCGTTCAGGTTTTTACACTAAACGCAGGTCGCGGGTATAACGCCGCGGCTCGCATTTCAGAATAAGCAGCTTATCCTGAAACATACAAGCTACCTGAAACACACCCTTAATCATATCAGTCGCACCCTCCTGCATCTCAATACCTGGAGCCAGCATCAATTATCAATACCCTCCGACAGCTTAGTACCAGCCTCAGCAACCTCAGGATCTGGAGCAACCCAGGTAGGTGATTCCACCTCGAGCATTTGTTATGATGCAACAAAAAGCTCATGAAGCTCCTGACGTGGTTACAGTTATTATCTCTATTTTAAAGTAACTGATAAGGGCACTACTTGACTCTAGATCATCTCATTCATTCATATCCAACAAATTTGTATCTAATGCATTTATTTATTCATCAGAATCACATACATCAATCATTATGTCATGTGGCTCACTCGTGATCGTGATTTAGTGTGATTATGATTATGGCATTATATCAATGATATGCATGTGACTGTTACTCTTAAAATATTCCCACTAGTTGAGTTTAATATAATTTTAGGTATAGACCGATTATCTACATATTATGCTCTGTCTCATCTAATTTCAAGGATCATAAAGGAACTCTTTCATGTTTAAATATTAGTAATTAAGGTATGCAGGTTGATCTACAATAGAGTGGTAGAATTAGAAAAATCTAGTGGTAGCTTAGATAGTGTTCCAATGATTCAAGTATTTGCTCTGATATATTTCTTGAAGATTTATTTGACTTATCACCGGATCGTGAGATCGAGCTCACCATAAACATACTTTCAGTGACTGCTACAATCTCTAAAGCATCATATAGAATAGCCACTGTGAAACTCCAAGAGCTCAAGTTTCAATTGCAATAATTACTTAACAAAGGATTTATTCAGTCTAGTGTTTGGCCTTGAGGAGCATCAGTTATATTTGTGAAAAAGAAAGATGGAAACATGCAGTTATGCATCGAACATAGAGATATGAATAAGGTGACTCTGACAAATAAGTATCCATTGCCTCGTATAAATGATTTGTTCGACCAGCTATAAGGTTCTTCCGTGTTTTACAAGATCGACCTCTGCTCTGACTACCAAAAGTTAAAGATCAAGAATGAAGATGTTTTGAAGAAAGATTTTTTATCTCAACATGGGCACTATGAGTTTCTAGTGATGTTATTTGGTTTGACTAAAGCCCTTGCTGTTTTTATGGATTTGATGAACAAAATTTTCAGCTCTTACTTGGATCGATTTGTCATTGTCTTCATCGATGATATTTTGGTTTGCTCCAGGGATGAAAAAGAACATTTCCAATGCTTAAACCAGCATGGTTTGCTCCAAGGATGAAAAAGAACATTTCCAATGCTTAAACCAGCACTGAATACTCTTCGAGAGAAAAAGTTTATGCTAAATTCTCCAAGTGTAAATTTTGGCTTTGACAAGTGATTTTTTGGTCATTATATTAGTGAAGCTGAAATTTCTGTGTATCCGGCAAAAATTAAGACAATTAGATAGGTCGAGGCAAATCACTACCACTGAAATTTGTACACTCATTAGATTAGCTGGATATTATCGAAGATTTGTTGAAGGTTTCTCTTACATCACTGCAACCCTATCAAGATCGACTCAAAAAGGTTGTTAAGTTAGAATTATCTAATGTTAGTGAGTAGTTTTTTAGAAACTCAAAAATTATTTAGTGACAACCCCAATTCTTACAATCCTTCTAGCATAGATGGATTTCAGATCTATAGTAATGCTTCACATCAAGGAGTAGGATGAGTTCTAATGCAGCATGACAAAGTTGTAGCTTATGTCTCTAT